TTGTAATAACTTCCACCACCTTGGTTTCTTCACACAGCAAGTCAGCTTCCTGCTGGAACACACTCTTGAGTGACTGCTTCTGTTCCCCTTCAAATTTGAATGTCTTAAAATGTTACTTACAAACATCGACCTCGTAAGGATGGTCTTCTGATCGAATTGATACAGCCAGTATGACTGGAGGAAAGGAGGGCACGAACGAAAATCAAGCGATGTCAAATCCTTTGGGTAAGTTAATAGGTCATGATATAGGCCAGGAAGGATATGAAGTAGACGATCTGGAGGCTGCTATCATTGGCTATCAGGGTAAAAGTATTGCCCCAGTAAGTGTAGAGGATCTCCCAGTTACCAAGTCAAGCCCCAGAGTTGTTGAAGAGCAGTTAGAACCCTTACAGCCCCATTCTATTGGTCATAGTTATCCAGATCAAGTTTAGTGTGGTGAAACTGATGAGAGTTCGCCTCCTAAGAAGAACAACTGTGTAATAGGGCTGTTTGAGGATACATTTTACCCAAGGGAGGTCCTCAGTGTGAATGGGGATTCTGCAACCATAACTTTCATGAGTTCTGTTAAAGGATCTACACGTTACTGGATTTGCCAGGATTTGGCAAGTTAGGAAAGGCACTCATACCTTACAGACAATCGGTATTGATATGAGGGTACGACCAAGACTCACGTAACTAGGTGTTGCTATGGGTTGCTAGGGGCCTACATAGTGAGGAACCCTAACATCAATAGTTTAATTGTAATCACTTTACTGTTTTAAACCGTTGTTACCATGACCCAGGTCAATTTTCAGCAGTTTTGGGTCAAATAGTGGTATTTTATGCCTTATTTTGCATGGAAATCGTCGTTGCTATGGGTTGCTAGGGGCCTAAATAGTGGGAAAACTTATCTCCCTGAAGTGTTAGACATTAGTTACCATTTTATCTCCCAATACACAACTGTCATAGGGTTTATAAAGGATAACTAGTATAATATTTATGGATAAAGTTATAAAAAACCCTAATTTTCACTGAAATCTTAATTTTTCGTAAAAAAGACGAGTTTCCATGGTTACGGGCACCCAATATGCCTCCAGATGAGCTCTGGAAGCTTGAAATCATCAACCCTACCTGGTATGTTAATAATAATCAACATTCATTAGTAACAATAGAGTGTAAGATATTAAAATGACATGTATTAACCTCTAAAATGCCTAAAATGCCTAAAACGCTCCGTTGCTAGGCGTTGCTAAGGCCCAAAAATACCACTAAAACACCTAACATCATGTTTTTATACCTATTATAGTTGACATACAAGTTACAATATACAATAATGGTCTTTCTGGATACTTTTGGCCATGTTAAAAGTCTTTGAATGGCAAAAAGGGGTAAAAACAAACATTTTGGCTGATTTCGCTTAATTTTTTTTCAAAACGACCCGTTTCCATGGATACGGGCACCCTGGGGGTCTTCAGAAAATTTGTAGATGGCTGAAATCATTTACCCTACCTGGTTTGTCAATAATGATTCACAATCATGGGTAACAATGAGGTGTAAAAGGTGAAAATTAATTAAATAAAGCCAATTTTAGTCAAAAACGTCAAAAATGACCCTCCCGCTAACCGAAAACGGGGCGGGAAATATTTATTTTGGGCTTTTTTGACCCCAAACCAAGTTATTTTTTCATTTTGGAGGTCCCTTTACCCAAAAAACAGGGCCGTTTAAAAATTTGGAAAATTTGCATTTTCGTGCCCACCCCTAATAATAATCATATTCCTAAGAAATAATCAGAAATCGAATACCAATTAAATAATATGATATATAGGAGTAGTAACCATATATTTACTATGCAAAATGCCCCAACCACATAGTGTAAATTTATATAGAATTCAAATTCCATATCATCATTAAACCTCAATAGTCAATATAATAGCCCAAGCAAAATTAAATAACTTCTTATATACCTTACTGCGAATACTACAAATTAATTAAACATTTGAAATCTGTTAACCAGAGAATAAATTTCTAAACCTAATGCAAGTGAAATAATTTAGATGCAATAATGAATGCCTAATGTGAGTATCATCTGTCAATGTCCTTGTAAAACAGTCTGTACAAGAGATATGAGTAACTAATATAGAAGAAAAAACAGGAAGTTGTCGTCTGTTGAAAAATAAATAAAATATCTAGAATATAAATTAGAATATAAAATAACATTCAGTCAATGTGTCGTCAATAAACTGTACAATTATCAAATGTTAAAACTGGGTGATACAGTCACCAAAAATAAATACTAAGTATAATAAGTTAATAAATTAAATGTGGTCTATAAAACTACCACTAGGTATAATAGGTCAATAAATTAAAAGTGGTTTATAAAACTACCACTGTGCGAACCCCTTCTCCAGTTAAAACATGTCAGTCATGTGCAAAATCAAGCAGAATGGTAAGGTGGTAAAAAAGGGAATATCCTTTCGATACATCAATTATATATGCTTCAGATTTAAAAGAATTAGAAGATACTTAGTTATCGTCGACTATGATTGCAGTGTAAAATTTGTCATATGAATTGTCGACGGTATAATTAGGGTCTGTTGTTATAGATGAGAGTAGCTGTTTCTTATACAAATCACTAAAGCTTTTAACATCGGGCAGATTTTGTAGATCTATTGGAACATTATTCCAACATTTTGCCCCCAAGTATTGAAAGTTTTTATGTGATGTTGATCTATTAACATATAGGTTGCAGCTTTCGCCGCTCCTACTACCTCCTGATATGTAACTAAATTTGTTCATAAAGTTTGTAGGACAATTGTCATGGATGATTCTAAACATATAATTTGACAGATGGAGTGATAAGTCGGATATAGTACTGAGTTCAAACAGTTCCCGAAACGAAAAAGCAAACATTTGATTTTTGTTTGACTGAATCGTCGATGGGCCGGCAAATATTTGTTGTCGAGTAGTGTTGAATACTCATATTAACATGATTATTGATTTAATTTAGGAATTGTATATAAATATCTTTGACCAAGTTTAATTGTCAATGAGAATGCACCCCAGCACTAGGCGCGCGCGGCGGCTTTGATGTTAGCGGCTACAAGCTAGGCAGCTGCAAAAAAATGCCGCGCGCGGCGTTCAGCGTACGGCTTTTCGTTTTTGATTTTACAAATGACAAAACAACTTTTAATGATTATTAATGGAATTATCGGATATTTATAATTCAATATGTATTGGTTCTTCTGTGGAAAATAAAAATTGTATTTTACTTAAAATTGTATTTTACTTATACATACCAATGGATAGAGCATTGGCCGTCTAATATAAGGACTAGACTCCCCAGCTAGGCGTGGGTGGGCCCTGTAGTAGAAATACAGATCTTCCTTCTTAGCTTGAGGTCATCATTATTTACACATTTACACATCCAAGTGTAGAGTACCCATATCTCCCAGACTGGAGACCTCGTTACCAACACTGAGAAGATATGAGGCTTGGTCCCTAAGGTCTTCGGCAACTGCACAGCTAGTCAGTATATGAATTGCAGTTTGTTCTTCATGACCACAGGAGCAGTCAAAACAGTATAATTCGAAAATAGTAAATGAGGAATTTACTTCCAGTTATATCTGGTGATTAGTGGACTACCCTGACCAGGTTATCTCTATCATGCTTCCTTGATGTTATGGCAAAGCAAGTTTATTATTGTTATACCTTGTATAAATTGCTTTTATATAAACAAACCTTATATAAATTGTTTTTAGGCTGAATAAGATAAAGTAGATGCTCAAATAGGCTTGTCATGATAAAATCTGAAGATTGTGTGTACACTGGCTGTTACTGTGAAGAGAACATCTACAAGTTCATTGAAAAGTATTCTGATCAGTTTGATGAAGTTTACGCTGTTTTCATATCAAACCCGCGCCAACAATGTGTCATCTGGTGCCAACAAAAGTCTGAAGAACCTGATGTGACACCAGTCTGCTGGGACTATCACGTTGTTGCGGTTGCAAGAAAATCTTCGGAGACTTGTGTGTTTGACTTTGATACAAGCTTGGGATTTCCCTGCCCCCTTGCCTTGTATGCTTCTCAATGTTTTAGACCCTCTGCCTCAGCAATTCCTCCAGGGTGGGTACAGTTTGCTTTGTTAACTGGACATTACTTTAGACCCATTGAAGGCTCTGAATTTCTGGAGACCTTCTCCTCCGATAGAAGTCATATGATTGATAAAGCCAGTGGACATTTTATGAGTGATCCCCCAAATTATGATCCTATTTTCAAACCTAATCTGGGTCACAATCTTATGAACTTTCTTGATTTTGAGAATAACAGTTTACCAGGAAATTGGTTAGATTATAAGAACTTCTTAGAATTTTTTAACTGAAGCCTTTAGTTTATATAACACTTCATGGAATTAGGCTGCACTGATATTTGCATTTCATAAGAAATTTACTGTGGAGTTTGGAAGAAAGGAAAAAGCTGCAGTAAATCGGGTTCGCGGTAAAGTGGGATATTTTAATTTACATTGTGCATTTTAAGCCCTATTTACTCTATCATGCTTTGAATTGTTTAAATGGATGTAATAAATATCTGATAAACTTTTTGCATCCTGATTTATTATATTACTTTTGCCATCTATTTGTGTCCCATATTGTACAATGTTCTAATATTATTGTGTTAGTCCTAGTTGATTTTGACTGCTGTTCATCCTGTTTTAAAGTTGAACGAAGATTGGCTTTCCTCAAGAACATAAATGATTGATTATTATTGCAACTTTACAGAAATTGTGTAAAATGAGAATAATTCAGATGATTTTTTGCATATTGGCCCCGGTAAATAAGGGCTGCTTGACTGTAACAACTTAGTCTAGATAATCTGTATGTACTCTCTTCGTGTACTGGTGGTTATTATACTTCAACAGACTAAATTAATATGTAGTTTACATTATTAATTTTACTAACTTTCATTGTTTTCTTTCAAAATTGTATCAAATTGATCTACATAATATTTTCTTGACTAACATTTAGCTGTGACTAATCATGGAGCGGTTGGACTTTCCTGAATTAACACCACGAGCTCTAAAAAGGATAAACCGAGCTAGACATAAAGCTAGGGAAGGTAAGATGTTTACAAGGGAAATTAAACATGTGAATATTATACAATTTTGTTGTTCAGGCCCTTCACACTTTGTTTCTGTCTGGTTCTTATATACCGTTAAATATATCGCAAACTCCATGATTGTATTGTGATATTCTGAAAAATCCACAAAACAATAACCAAAACAACATAATCACGCAGAACTAAAAGACCAGAAGAAAGACTGGGTAAAGAACAACTACCACGAAACCTGTGACAAGCTCCTCCCCCCTGTGGTCGACACAGTCCCACGTGTTGACGCCCGATCTTTGTCGTGCGAGGAATTCAGAAACAAGTATGAAATACCACGAATTCCAATAGTGTTGACTCATTTGATGGAAGATTGGCCCGCTATGACCAAGTGGACTATGAAAGTATGGGCCGTTTAACTTTTTGAATTTGTCCTCCTGGTTACAATACAAGTAGTTACTATAGTTACTACTGGTTACAACCCCGTTACAACTTGCTATAACACGCTCTGTCTCTCAACATTACCTTACTCGACTCTTTGATGTGTTTACCTTATTTTAAAATAAAGTAGTAACAAATAATTCTCTTTTTAAGAGACCTGCCAAATATTGCAGATTCAAAATCAGCCAAATTCGGTCACATGTTGATACGTCGAGTAAGGTAATATGTAATAACGCTGAAAATTGCGAGCAAAGCAATTGGGCATATCATTTGTGTACATGTTTCGTTTATATTATCATATTCAAGAGAATTCAGGCTATATACTTAAAAATCTTTATAATATTACTTATATACGCTTGTAATTTCTAAAGCAGATCATCACTTTTAAACATATTGGCAGTTTCTGTAAATCCCTGAGGTCTATAGATTTGTCTCCAGTAATTTTTGTGGAAAATACTGACAAAGTTCCTGGCTCAATATCTGCCGGAACTCATTTTACTGTGAAGCCTGGAGAGCAGTGCTTTGTGCTGTAAAATTTCTCTCCTCTAACGATTTTGACTAAATATAAATTATAAATGTAATAATATTATTTGAATAACCTTCATTGATTATTTCCTACAGCACAGTTTTTAAATAGTTACTCCATTTGTTTATTTTATTTTGGTTTTGTGATCTCGTGCTAATTTATACGCATATTACATATAACAAACCGTTATTAAGCCAATTTTATTTCAGAAACTTGTCAAGAAGTACCGGAACCAATCTTTCAAAGTAGGTGAAGATAACCGGGGTAACTCTGTGAAACTCAAGTTGAAGTACTACAAGGATTACGTGTCTTGTAATAAAGACGATAGTCCTCTGTATGTATTTGATGGGAACTATGGAGAGGTTTGCTAATTGTAACTTTATTTCCGCTCAGATTCTAGATCATGCTGTTTTAGGGTTAAAGTTTAATGTTGAAACACATCTATTGTTTATATTTTACAGGCATATGTAACATTTTGTTCGCATTTCCAAGATATTTTTTTCACATCAGATCTCTGGTGTAGGTCTCTGCTGACTAATAGAAGCTACAACCATAATTTAGATACACTTGAAATTTGATATTACTAATCTGAGTTTTGACTATTTCCTACTAGACTCAATTTTAGATTTGACTTTGGGTACATTTAACTAGTTGGTTGGGACTTGGGAATTGTAGCAAGTTTACTGGTATGCACTGTGACCTGGTATGTACTTTGTACATTGTACATTGTACATCGGATGTGCTGTTTACTTAGGAAAAGTTCTACAGTATCTATATTCTATCACAGTATGTGCTAAAGTAAAAGTAAAGTAAGGGTCTAACAAAAAAGTAAAGTAAAGTAAGGGTAAAGTAAAGTAAGGGTCTAACAAATATATAAATTGACTAAATAATTGTCTTATAATCCTTGTAATTTCAGCACCGCAAGAAGTGCCAGTTTTTGGAGGACTACAAAGTTCCTGAGTATTTCGCAGAGGATCTTTTTCGCCTAGTCGGGGAGAAGAGGCGACCACCTTATCGGTACAGCTAATAATAATGTTGGAGTGTTCATCTTCCACATATCTTATTTAATCTTTTTTTAATTATTGGAATTACTTCAATAACATGGTCCCACCTTGCGGACCTAATATGCTATTTTTAAATATTCAAGCTGCTGTGATTAAAACATGCAAAATCGAATTAATTGATGTTGTGCTAACATATGTATTATGGAGAATGAGGTTTGAAAATGTAATAAAAATAAAAATATAAGACATCTCACAGGAAACTGAAGGCGTATATTCCGATGAGTTCATCATTATTTTCCCCCTGGAATGAGTGGAATGTTGACAAAATGTTCCTTATTGTGTGAACTATTTTAATTTCAGTTGGGTGGTATTTGGTCCTAAAAGATCAGGAACTTCAGTACATATAGACCCCCTAGGAACCCACGCTTGGAATGCCCTTGTATCTGGATACAAGAGGTTAGTAACCACTAAATAGCTAGCATAATTTGTATTTGCAATTATTAGTTTGCGTATACATATGGAGAATAACGCAAGATCTGTAGTCTGGTAGAGAATTATCGAGAATGTTCGAGAGCGATGTATTAAAGATTTTTAGCAACATTGCAGTTATTAGTTTGTATATACATAAGACAAAGTCTAAATAAGTTATTTAGGTATACTGTCCGAGAAAGGTTAAACTCTTATGACTCTAGATAAGAATGTTCGAGATCGATAAATTTGTAATTTTAGCAGTAGCACCTATTCCTGTCCTTTCCTGGCATTTTTTACCCCGAACAACGGCTTAATTTATTCGGAGTTGTTTTGTGAGTTCTTCCGTGCAATTCATCAGCTCAACCAACTCTCGAAGCAGTATACAGTGATTTATATTGCGATCGTTTTAAGTAAACAAGTCTAAAATTAGCTTACTTTGTTCAGTGACGTCAATCGTACATGACAATTCCCAGGATACTTGTTGGAACGCGCGGTCTGTAAAATATTAGTATTGCGCGGGTTTTCTATGCGCGCTTTCTGCGCGCATAATATCATATCAATATAATTAAATTAATTATGTATGCGGCCGGGGCGCACCTTCGTCGTTGTAATCTTCGTATTAAATCCGATCATAATTATCAGATTAAATTAGATTCCGATAAATTCTTCGACGGACCGGATTGGTCACTGACAAATCACTACCCTCCCACCTTAAAGTTGTCATGGAGTATAATCCTCATGTATTACTATCAAATTTCCAGGTGGATATTGTTCCCAACACATACAGCTCGGTGGTTACTTAAACAGAAGTTGCCAGACAGCGAAGCTATCACGTGGTTCAAATTTGTGCATCCTCAAACTGACGACCCTAACTGGCCTGAAGACTGCAAACCGGTGAGTTGAAATTTGTCTATCGGTGGGAATGTTCAACCCCGGTGAAAATGTTTAACCTCTTACCGTAACGGTTAAATGTTCACTCATTTTCACGATGGCTAGGTTTTATTTGGCAAATTAAAATACAGTAGTTTAGGTTGGTTAAATAAAACACAGACAAATTCACAGACAAATTCAAAGTTACCCTAGATTTGTCTATACAATACAGAATCATCAATCAACGCTAACTTTAACACGACCGTATAATTTGATGTGTCCAATGTTACACATAATTTATTGAATCCAGCACGGAATAAAGTTAATGTAACATGACCGCATATAATGTATTTTACAATTATAACTTCTTTATCTGTCCAGTGATGTAAACATTTCTCATCCGAATCTCTTAAACTTGATTAACATAAATATCAAAATGGCAACGGAGCAAAACCAACAAGAGACCCTATAGGCCCACTGTCCCAAACCAACAAACATAGCTTTGTGCCTCATAGCTTTCGTTCTCTGCTGTCTTTTCTTCGCCAAGTAGGTTTTAATTCCAAATAAAAGGATGAACGGGCCAAAAAGCGGCATAACAATTGGTCCCGTTATAATCATGAACCATTCCAAACATGATATCTTCCGGTCAATTCCCACGTACTCTACTTCATCAACTTTCTGCCTTTGTGCGTGATTGGAGTTGTCTGAAACCTCGTAATCCTCCATCTATACTGCACTGTAGGATCAACTGAACGTACGAGTTAAGCAAGAAACACTGTTTAGATATTGTAAGATGATGTGCTGATGTTCTGGAATATCATTACCATCTTTTATTTTTCTGACTAATCTACTGACAAAACCACTGGCCAGAGAACACAGCTGCTCGATTCATCGCATTATTTAAACAATTTAAAATTGATTGAAACTTTTATTGACTTGCCTTTGTTGCTAGCATTTTAACCAATTGCATGCTAGACACAAGCTTAATCTTTTATAAAGTCGGTCTATTTCGTAAAGAGTAAAGACGAATATGTATTTTTGATCGCTTGGGTAAAATGTAACATTATACAGGGTGTCCTTAAAAAAGGCGACCAAGTTTTCAGTGTTAATAACTCAAGAACGGTTTGAAAATGTTATTTATTATTTAGGGTATGAACTCCGGGATCCGAGAGAAAAATTTCAGACCGCTAGTTCATTCGAGTAGGATGTGGTAGCCTCATGACGCTTTTTCCAACTTTCCTGATAATTTGTATGCTATCGGCTTGTTCTTGGTCACAAAGTGATAGTCATGTGATGCTGAGCTGTTGACAGAGTGGATGACATAATCGCCACGCAGCTCCTGAATTAAAAGCCTTGAAATTTTTGAAGTCGATTCGGTTTCAAATTCTGAGCAGTGCACGGCAAATCTGCTCAGCAGCAGCCCCATACGGCCATAAGCTCTTTAAAAATCCAAGCAGTGCAGTGCCTGGTAAAGTTTTGCCCTGAAATTTGTTACACAATCTTTAGAGCATCATAGCATATGACTTGAGAAGTCGTCAGGTTTAATCCGAAGTGAGTTATTAACACAAATAAATTGGTCGCCTTTTTTGGGACTTCCTGTACACAATACTATAAATATGTTTAACAGACTTTTATCAAGTTTCAACAAGACGCTTAAACCTCACAAATAATCCCAATTTTCAATTCAAGTTTTAGGTACAAAAAGTCACACATCAAATACATAATTTTCAACAACAACAATAATTTAAACATCATGAAGAACAAATACTCTGTCCAATAGTTCACGCCAAACAGCAGCCTGTTTTTAGAAGATATCACGTGTTAATATAAATTCCGTGTGAAACATCTCAGGTCTCAATCTTTCTTGGTTCTCTCATCCGAATCTTCCAGTCTTGATCATGGTGAAGAGCAAAAGTCCAAAACAGGCAAAGGTACACGAGACTCGATAGGCCCATTGTCCCAATCCAACCAACATGGCCTTATCATTAAGTGCTCTTATCCTTTGCTTTCTTTTCTTTGCCAAGTAGGTTTTAACACCCCATAATAGAATGAACGGTGCAAACAGAGGCATGACAAAGGGGCCTGTTAAGATCATGAACCATTCCAAGTACGAAATCTTCCGGTCAACTTCCACGAATGTATCTGTAGCTGTCTTCACTTCCACGTCCATCTTGTGCCGTAAGTGTGAGGTATTCTCGTAATCCCGCAAAAAGAACAAACAAACGCACAAGCAATAGTAGCTGTTAGGTGCTCATTTTCCTGAATTCATTGCACTAGCAGTATCTTTCGTCATTACATATCCTAAAATATGTTAATTAACATGACATTAGACACTAATCATTGATTAGTAAATGAGTATCGATAGGCTCGAATCTCCCACGGAATATGTTTGTCCTATCGTTGGCTTGGTTTTAAAGATTAAGATGACAACGTTATTCGTCTAAATTGTCATGACCAGTTACCGTTCAAGCATTTACACTGCATAATTTGTCGTACACCTTTGATCATACGGTCTCCAAGAAACATATCACATATCTTATTAAAAAGGGTTTCTTCGTTACTAATAAATAGTTTAAAAAGCGTGTGGCCTGTTCCATCTTTCGAACTCGAGATGCAATAACTAGGGCATATTTTAATTGGCATATTAGCTAGTAATTAGGCAGTAATAAGTCTTTCAGCATGTGCAATGACGTGTGCGATGATCACAAGAAAGACTCGTACATGCATTACAACTTATAATTAGGACTATTTATTTCATTCTCTTAGTGGCTTGATGAGTCATTAAGGAGCGTACTCAACGATTATCTGAGGCAAGAAAATAAAGAAAATAAATCCTACCAAAGTATTATGCGAGTCAAGGCACAATAACTTATAAGAACTATTCGGACGATTTACGAAAAGTACTTTTAGGTAAGTTGTATGTGCAAATATTTCATTGGAATACAAGACGATGATGTTGAGACTCGTCCACCAAAGAAACCTCCAACATTTTCCTTAAGTTGCATTCCTACATTGCCTACGCACTATTGAACCTGCTCGCTTATCAACGTTTGCACTTCATTATCTTACTAAATAAAATGTCTCTTATTCAGATCGAGTGCTTGCAAGGGCCTGGAGAGATGATGTTTGTACCTGGGGGATGGTGGCATGCTGTACTCAACGTCTCCGACACGGTGGCCGTCACTCACAACTACGTTTCGACCGCCAACTTTGCCGCGTCCTGGCACAAAACGGCGAGAGGACGGCCAAAGCTCTCCAAGAAATGGCTCGCTCAGTTACGGGTAAGTTGGCACTTAGTTAATACAGCCCCTCATCGCTATTAGAGGACTGGTCAGCGTATTAGTGCGGCTTTCCGTTAGGATATTCAGTATTCACGCAAACTTCCGGTTACAGTTAGAATCTAGGATTAATTGACACACCCAACTTGCGACAGGACGCTTGACACTTGACGGATTAGATTTCATCTACCTGGCGCTCGTCGCGTCGTAAAATATATCACAATCCAGCCTGGACGTTAGAAAAAGTGCCCCGCGCGTTACGCACATGATAGAATCCACGCGTATACCGTGACCGGTTGTGGCCCTATATTAATTGTGTCGAGGTCTCATTACTCTATAACATAGTATCTGATACTACAGTCCACAGTATGACGGTGCTGGCACAGCGTGTCTCGAAACACTGCAAACAATAGCTAGTCCTACGACTAAGGAATAGAGGGTGACCATATGATTAAATCAATTTGTTTGCAAAGATGTTTACAAGCGATCATTGATCAGTATAGGGATGTCTTAAAATAACTCGGACGAATTCCTCCTAAAATTTGTCAAAGGAACAGGGTCTTGGCTCGCGATCTTGAGTACCCTACTCTAACATGATTTGGTTACCACCCTAACAGGATGACAAATTGAGAAACCAGGACACATGCACGGAAATACCCTATCTGAACCGCAATAAAATAGCACTGATGAGTTCCAAGAAGCGACTAAGCCAAGTGATAACGCAGGAGAATAATTTCACAAGCTTGTTAGAGCAGACTGTCTTTACTGCGTGTGTGCTGGTTTTGACCAGCCTCAAAACAGTCAAATTCTCCCCTAGATCAGTAGTGGAGCCCCACTTCACGGTGGTTGATGTTATCAACAGTTTATTTTACTACCGAGTACTCGGATGAATCAGCAGATATTTCAGCAACTATTGCTACATTATGGGTTCTCTTACGCATTTCATCGACACAGTTCAGAACGCAAAACAGTTTTAACACACGATAAACAGTAATTAATGGACTATACTAATTCTTATACTGCCATTCTCGTCAGGCCGTGCAAAGGAAAATCGCGCGACAAATCGATGATAGTTAAGATTTACTGGGCTAGTCGATTAATTTTTTGATCGATTGTTACTCGGGGAATTTTCTGCAGATCATGGGATTTTGGTGAACTGATGGGGTAAGTGATTAAGAGTGTGACAATAAGGAATAATCCACTATCTATGTCTGCGATTGTGGGAAGAAAAGAAACTGAGAATATTGCTAATATCAGGTACCAAATAAATGGGGGCGATCTTGACTCATTGCTTATAGGTGATACCTATAAAGTGTTGCTGTAAAAGAGTGGCACTGATATTACTGTATTTTATGGCTGCTGAGAAATTGTTAGACAGTCTTTTGTTTTCTTTGAGAGGGTTGGTCAGGGGTCCGTGCTAATTGCAGATTAGAAGGATTCAAGGCAAAGCCAGCAAAGAACGGTCTGAGACAACAAAAAATAGAGCAAAGTTTAGACCGCTTCTGTCATTAAAGATAATAACTCATTTGAGTCTTCGTCAAACAGATTTTACAAAGAAATTTGCTTTAGTGAAACCAATTATTTTATTATAAAAAGGGGGATGTACTAATATATTTATAATGAAATAGGTGGCCACAAATTTACGGTTTTTATTGGCATTCGGTTGAGGTTTTATCTGTATTCATTAGGCATTTTAGCTGGAAAATTGCGTCAGACAAATGAGCTAATGGGACAGGAAAACAATATGATATGATGTAAACACGCTGTCGTGATTTATAACAAAGAAATAAAATTCCATTTTCCTTAGCATACTCCTAAAACTACAAGAACAATCTCAAAGGTGGATTTAGTAATCAACGCAGAACCGAGGGTATTTACCCTCGAGCCGTTATCTTCTAGCCACTGTTCAGCTCGAAGACGAATTGCTTTGAACAACTCTAAACGAGTTTCTTGTCTCTTCTGCCCCAGATTTTTGTTAGAAAATTATCTTACAGCTTGTCACTGGTTGTGCACTTATTACCTAATTTATAGTTGGGTGAACAGTTGTGTAATTATAGTTGGGAGAATCGGTATGTGCCAAAAAAAATTTCACCGTCGTGAAAATGGCAATATTCGTGAAAACATTTTTACATTTTTCACTATCGAGTTCCCGCTCGTAATTTAAATTACAACTATCATTCCTTTACAATTAATGTACTTAGCTTGCTTTGTTAACCCTCATCCCTCGTTAAATTCGGCAGAATTCGGCAGACATGCCAATATTACAGTACTCTGAGGAGTATGTATTAAGATTACGAAGTCACGTACGGGGTACTCTATTTGAAGGTTTCACATCAGGGAGAAATCCACCCTACATATGGCACGAGTAGTACGGGCTGTTCCTATAAGTTTTTTGCGAAATCCAGAGCAGAATTATTTTTTCCCACGTCCTTAAACTGATAAGACATTTTTGGCCGGATTTTAATTTGATTTTCGCTTGCTTGCGTGTACATCAGCTGATAAGGACGTGAATGCTGAAAACTTCTCGATTTTTCTAAAAATACTATAGATAAGTATTTAGGACACGTAATTGTGCTAACTGCCGGGAATTGAACAATAGTGTTGCAAATTTAGGACTTCCTGGGCAGCCTGGTCCTTTTCTCACGATGTCGAGTGGTGACAAAATGACTGTAACGGTCATTTTCATGCCAAATTGCTTTTGGAATGGCATATTCTAGCCCTATTATATAGACTGTCCAATGTGAGAAAATTTGTCGAAATAATATAATTACCAAATTAAACTGATTATGGCTGATTCACGATAAAGTCACGGTAAATCTGTTCAGATGATGACAGAATTATATCTCAAACTATAACTCTCCACACACTATATTATTATTAATAAGCTCAGATATCACCAATCGAACGAGAGTGGCTGAAAATGAAAAGAAAGCACTAACAGAGGACCCATTATTGACAATCCAAGAAGACTGAGGCAATCTAGCACACTATAATGGAGATAAGCTGAGTGACCCTGGCGGTCACTATAACTACACGGAGTGGGGCGGTCTAATTATGCAAGATATGATGAATATGTATGTGCCCGATACATACACGAGTAATAAGTATTATATTTATCAACAGAGAGGATAGTGTCGGTGCTGCTACATGTGCTGGTATAGGACCTGGAGATGATACTACGGAGGAGTGCTAGTAGTGCGGCACTATTGTGCGGTATTTTGGCATCTTGTGAGCCTTGTCGTGTTGTCATGGTCACCGCCCATTGGTTGATAAGAAACACGTGGGCGGTAGGGAGGTAGGTGATTGGTTGTCATGGTGACAGGTCCAGGTTGGCTGGTGTAGGATCAGCACCAGTAATAAGCTTCTTCTTTGATGGAAGGTTGTCAGTATTAACAGTGGAGTTTGTCACGTGCTCTTCAATATTGTGAGGTTATTGGTTCTCCTTTCTCCGTGTCCTTGTGTACGTGGCACCCCACATATCCCAGACAACCATGTGGTAACCTAGCAACGATATGGTTGGTATTTGGGTAACCTAGTCACAAAAACCATTAAAACCCACCAAAACTCATGTGGACAAAAATAACTATTCGAACCCCGCAAAAATCATAAATCAGTGGCTGCAAATTGCAACCATTTCTTTTGCAGTCTGCAACAGAAATATTACTCCAACGGCGAAAAACTTCAAAACCCTTCTCAAAGTTGATCAACCTAAATTACAGACTACAGAGTGTCTACTAACCCTGTATCAAGGGAGAAGTACATGTCAAACATTACAGTACCAGGTAGGTAGACGACTACAAGTTTACTATCAGATGATAGGCACTAACGAGTTAGGTTAATAATCAGCGACCTCCCAGCGTACTTGTTTACTGGATCCACTGTATCGTGCGTCATCACTTGTTACACTTTCTAGTGGTCCAGGTTTTGGTCGTCTCCGAACATGTTCCAATATGTTTTATATAGAAATTCGGGGGTGGGGGGGGGGGGGGGGGGGGGATAGCGGGATTTGCGTTAAATTGGGACGTGGATAATTGGGGCTTTACTGTAAAAGAAGTAGAAATGACCTAGATAATCATGAAATGCGTGACCAAATTTACAGTCAAGGCATAATGCCCTATTGGTGACACTAAGGTGGTACATATAGTGGTACATATAACTTGGTACATATTATAGTGGTCTAATCTTGATACTGGGAATGGTATTGAGAACCTATTGAGAATGGTTCTGGTAGCTCCACTGTAGTAATTTGTACTATTGATTTAAAAACTGATATTGGTACACACTCGAAGCCGAGTATGTAAAAACGACCATCAAAAACGCCATAGGCGACCATTTCAAACTAATCTTGACCTGGGCTGATATTGGTACTGATTGAAGTAACGTATTAGTGCTTTTCAAACAAAGTTACAACGAATTCTTCATCTAGTGCATCCTGGCTTTGGACAGGATATCCCCGTTTAAAATATTTCCATCACGTTACATTACATAATTCTCAATACATGTATTTAATTGTTGTTGTGAAATTAGTTTACAATTTTGGTAAACAAAGGTATAGTTTTGTTTACCAGATACCTTTGTTCTAGAATCTCCGGATCTATTTTCCTTATGGTTACCGGGTTACGCAGATAGCTATTAATAGCACATTGCAGCGTAGACAATTTTAGTGCTGAATCTTCAATAACAAATATGCTAAAAATAGTGTCAGGCTGTTGAAGCCAAAGTATTTTGTTTTTACTCAACAATTCACACATCTCAGACCTTGGAACAAGTTAGCAAACCCTCGGATCGGACTCAATTCTTTCTCCTATTACTTAGAACAATGAGTCATCACCGGTAAAATAGGATCCGTCAGTATTCAGCCAGTATTCCGTCAGTCAGTGACAAGGTGCCGCTACTTAGTCTTGAAGTAGAATAGTTGTAATACCTACAATACCTCTCGTTACAGAATTAAGATTCTTAATTTAAGAAGTTACATCATATCGGTTCCGTGAAAACGAATGCCAAAAATAGCTTACCGATCATCGTCTTCAGCGTATGTTAGTATCTGAGAAAACTAAAATAGGCCGATATATATATAATAAGAGGTTGAATGATCTTATTTTAAAAGTTCTATTTTCTATTAACTGCTAATTCAATTTCGTAGAATCGGAAAGTTAATTTTAACTTCAGGTTATATAGAAGATCATTTTATTGAGATTTTTTGCTAAATCTATATGCTTATCTAGTGAAAAATATGACATAATTCATCGTACTGACCATTCAATTTGGAAATATAATTTCAAACACGCACAGAGCCACAAATGAGCGATATAAAAAATGTGAGGTCTATCTGATCCTTCGCTAATCGCAAGATTCGATTTGTGGTTGTAGACTGTAGAGATATGTTTCGTAAAAATGTCCCTAAATCATCCAAAACTGCCGGATGATGACATACTTATCTGACAGTATACATACTTTTCAAGGTCCGATTTGGTATGCCATTATCATTTTTGAGAGACCTATACGATGGCTGGCCACTTATCAGTAGTGATATCATCTCCATTTCTCGAAATTCTTATAAGATAAGCTCACGCACCCGACTGATATCCCAAATAATCAGTATATCATTGATAAGTTTATCAGGATGGGTGGGGGACTATGGGCGTACCTAAACTTGCACGAGCGTGCTTGCACACTTATTCAAACTGCAGTAACCCCGCGTGTTAACCTTTTCCGATAGCCTTATCGTAAGTTCAGACATAGGTCGTAAGTCTTGGCCCACGGATATAATCGGTGTTGGCCAAAATTAATTATGACTGCACGACTAAGGCGCACATTTGGTGCATCTGACGCTAGAGTTTCTAGTGAGTTCGAACAATAGGTACCCAGTACCTGCATCTGACGCTAGAGTTTCTAGTGAGTTCGAACAATAGGTACCCAGTACCTGCTACCTTCACGTTTAACCTGCTCTCCGAGGAACAATGGTAATGACATATCTAACAATTTAACATTACACCTGATACTTGGAATTCTATGTCTGAGCATTTAGGACCGGAATCTGATCCCCGTGAATACCTTGATGAGTTTTATCAGACTAGTCTGGCAGAACAATCAGTTAATTTCAGGTCTCATCTATTTAATCCCTTAACTCTAGCTCTAGCTCGGGGGAGGAAGATCTGCGGTTAATAACAAGACTTTATATCGAATTACAGGGTCCTGATTACTGTTAGTATCTTATTAGCAATCTCCCTGGAATCTAGTTGTAATCTAGTTAAATGTGTTAATGATGACGTCATGATAATTCTGGTAAATTATTTAGGGGATAAGAATGTTATGTCGTCACACTACTGGCGGTGCTTCGTGACGTCATATTCTGTCCCACCGTCATAGTATTATTATCACGGAATTCCTAAAAAGGGAATACTTGTGATCATCACTAGAGATTTTATGATGCAACTATGAGTTATTAAGTCATGTAACTAGGATGATAATTATTGATCTTATCATAGTGCCTTATATGACTTAATATTATTATTCTAGGTATTATTTATTCATTTATGATGTGATAAGGTAATTATTACACCAGGCGGCGCCAACAAATTGGGTATCAACTATCAAGATGAAAAGTTGAAAGTTTTGGTATGCTATCATCATTATCAAGACGTGATAGGGGATAATATGATTTTAAAATATTATGGAAAAGTGACGAATTTTGTGTGAAAGAAAATAAGACCTTGCAAGACAGTAAATCTAAGTGATAAGGCAAATTAGATAATGACTAATGACGCCTCGTAACAAACTGTAATGGTAAAGTTGGACCTTGTAACAAACTGTAATCGTAAAGTTGGACCTTGTAACAAACTGTAATCGTAAAGTTGGACCTTGTAACAAACTGTAATGGTAAAGTCGGACCTTGTAACAAACTGTAATGGTAAAGTTGGACCTTGTAACAAACTGTATGGTAAAGTTGGACCTTGTAACACACCTGTAATGGTAAAGTTGGACCTTGTTACAAACTGTAATGGTAAAGTTGGGACCTTGGTAACAAACTGTAATGGTAAAGTTGGACTTGTAACAAACTGTAATGGTAAAGTTGGACCTTGTAACAAAACTGTAATGGTAAAGTGGACCTTGTAACAACTGTAATGGTAAAGTTGGACCTTGTTACAAACTGTAATGGTAAAGTTGGACCTTGTAACAAACTGTAATGGTAAAGTTGGACCTTGTAACAAAATGTAATGGTAAAGTTGGACCTTGTAACAAACTGTAATGGTAAAGTCGGACCTTGTAACAAACTGTAATGGTAAAGTTGGACCTTGTAACAAACTGTAATGGTAAAGTTGGACCTTGTAACAAACTGTAATGGTAAAGTTGGACCTTGTAACAAACTGTAATCGTAAAGTTGGACCTTGTAACAAACTGTAATGGTAAAGTTGGACCTTGTAACAAACTGTAATCGTAAAGTTGGACCTTGTAACAAACTGTAATGGTAAAGTTGGACCTTGTAACAAACTGTAATGGTAAAGTTGGACCAGATATTATCTTGATACCATTACCAGACTCCAGACTGATAAATTGACATTAAATAATTTGCACATGATGTGCTTTGTTAACGTTGAGGAAACATGGTTAGAATATTAAGATTTTAACACAAATAAATAAAGGCCCTTATTTAATGGTTGTAGTCCCTGCCCAGCATCTCCCGTGGTCAGTAATCCTAAAGCCCTAAGGCAGGAGGAATGGAATTTATTATGTGTTGGCCTGTCTCCGTATCAACTATCAAGTCAGAGAGTCTCGTCGTAATTGTTCCATCCCCCAAATTTCTTGTTACGTACACAGTAAACACCCTTTAATACAACTGTTAATACTGGAGAAATCTAGCTTAAAATTATTACACTTCCTTAATTTGTAATGGTCGGCAATGGCTTCAATGCCCAAACTTAACTATTCTTATCGCAGATTTGTATGTTTTCACTGGATTTCTGTTTTCTAAAGAACAATATTTCTTAAAAAGCAGTGTTTCTAAAGAACAGTGTTGATACATTTCTTAAGAGGTGTTATAGGATAGTTATTACTAAACTTTGGAACATTATTGCACTATTATTTACTTCCTCGTGTTATTCGAGAAAATCGATTTCAGTAAAAAACCAGCCAAAATTTGTATCTGATGAGACTTGAAAAAACTAGACGACTTGAACAGCTAAGAAATTATTCTCGCAAATTAATGTGTCTACTTTGTTGTTTCTGCGACATGCCAGGTGCCAAGTTTCATAATTGATACTGAAAAATTTGTTAAATTCGGGGAATTTGCTTGAGACCTGCTGCAACTGCAATTTGTAAGCCATAAAATTAATACCTACGCGCTTATCTCAAACTTCCGACAACTTTCATCTAAGTCTTATATTAGAATGGACTTCACCACCGTCTCATTCTACCAAAAATAGCAGTGCACCACCGCACCAGTCATCTGCCTCGTATTAACCAGTGCACCACCAGTCATCTGCCTCGCATTAAGCCTCACCTTCCGTTTTTGAACTCCAATTTTAATGAACATCAACAGACCCCTTCTGGTAATCCCACTAAAACTAAGTTATCTTCTCAGGAGCACAGACCGGATCTAGCGAAGATAGCCGATGATACGGACCTCTCTGTAAAGTTAGCAGAACAATCAGACAGTTCCTCTAACGGCTCAACCTCCAGCTCCTCCTCTTCTTCTAGCTCCTGCAGCACTTGTCTTACTGGTGCGTTTAGGTTGCGGGGCTGCAAATCTGGGCTTGAATATTTTCATTGTTAACGACTTCCCCCATCATCATGATCTTACTTTTAGGAATTTTTTCTAATTTTTTTTTCAATAGATTTATGACAGTTTTTTAGAATAATTCTGGAATAAGAAAGCTCACGTTTAACCGTGTAATCATCATTAGCGTAGGGCCTAGATTTTAATATTTCGGTGACTATAATCTTAGTATAACGATAAACGGATCATTACATCATTCCCCCTGCCACTCTGTCTCAAGAGGTTTTTAAAAGTTTTTACAGCGTCAAACTTTCTTAAATGTTACACTTTAACAACGATACACTATACTCGGTAATTTTCGGATTTTGTATTGTCATCTAGGCAACATATGAAGGGGTCATTGGTGTAGAGTATTACTTAACGAAATATGAAGGGGTTTTAGGTGTAAGGTTGAACTAATAGTCGCCATGCAGACAAATTATAAGGATGCAAACTTAAAGTTAAATACAGGAAATTTGCCGTTTTAAAAGGTCTGGAGATTTCGAGGTATAATGAGAATAAGAATTTGTTGGATGAAAATTCAAAATATAGTGTATAGAAGAATTAACCGTCTCATAGTCCAGTAAGTGATACAGGTTATACACACACCTGTTCTAGAAGACCGAACCACGTACGTTGTGATCTAAGTTCAATAAAATCATTTACCTAGCACACAAAGATTTAAAACAACCACAACATTTCCAGATTCCAACTCGGACAATGACCGAAGCAGACCTGTGAGCCGGAAGAAAACTTCAGCTAAGAAGAAGGCTGGAAAAAGAGGGAATGAGTCGGAGGAAGGGAGGAGGAAACGTTACCGTTCTAAGCGGGAGAGAGATAGAACAAACTACAGAAACAAGCGACCATCCCACAGCGAGGTAGTGTATTTTAAAATAGTCAACTAAGGAAGGTTAAGAATTTAAGATCCAGTTAGTACCGGTTACCAATTATTTATAATATGCCGGGTATGCCCCACTGGTTCCAATTCTGCCATATTTGTCTACAATATGTGATTTGGCATCGGGATGTGATTTTGACATAGTTTGGGCCACTGTGGACAAGTACAGCATTAAAAGAACTACTCAAGCCATCTACCTAATAGAATTGACATCTACCTAATAGAATTGATTTCCCCCAATGATAAGATAACGAAAATTCAACAAATTGAGTTGACCATTTTATGATTGAAATCATAATTGTGGGCGGAGATATAACATTGTGAACAAATTGGAATTAAACTTGTTTAATAAAGTGAAGAAATATCCACAAACGTAATATGCCCCCCCCCCCCCCCCCCCCCCCCCCCATATGATTTGGAGTTAATAGTTGGGAGAATGACTATTTCTGTGGATATATCTGTAGTCCTAAGAGACCCGATCTAGCGGATGTTCATCAACAACAGCAAACCTTACATTTAAACGCTTTAACAATTTAAGTAGTTTAACAATGTCAGTTGACCTATGCTCCACATTTATTTATCCGATCGCTTCTCGATAAGAGCCTCTTAGAGGACTGTTTTAGTGAGTGGATGAAGGCTGTGTTTGCGTCAAACGTGTCTCCACTATATGCTTAGCATGCGTCAACTGTGCGCTAAGTCTTAAGCTCTTCGTCGAAAGGATATCAAAATTCCCATGAATATCATCATTTCGATGAAACAGTTGGTGAGCATTGCCAAATGTCAAGGCATTCATGCATCAAGTTTGCGATGTTAGTAAATCATAAATACTGCGCTTGAGTTGTGGTCACCACGTCCCCAGCAGGAACTATGAGTTCCGCATTGCATCATGTGTTGTTGTCATAGTTACTATTGCATGTTGTTGCTGGGCAACATACTGGGCTATTACACAATAAACATCAATAGCTCGCATATTTGGCATTCCTGGCACTATCCAGGAAGTGTAGCGGACCCAGCTGAATACGTAATGTCTGGGACTATCCCGGATCTTGTCTAGATACGTGGGACCTGTGCCTGGCAGTGTGCCAGATCACCGCGGCCTGCAGAGTTGTATGCCAGGTCAACCTTGCAGTATTCTGCACAATGTGTAGTGGCCAGGTAAACCCAACCTTGAGTGCTATGTGCGGTAAACTTATAGTGACCGGTTTCTCTCAAAAAAATTTTCACATGCTAAAAACTCCTATCCTTGATTTTAATGCTCCCCGGAAAACAAGAGTCAGACTGATGCCGCGATGATGAAACTAGGCCTAGCGACACTAATATACAATTCCTGATGATTCGGGTGGTAAGAAAATTCAAAACCGCTGTTGACGCGATCTTGCTTGAATGTGAAATTTGTGTAGTGGCCGGGACTTTTTGACTCGCATGCTAAAAACTCCTATTCTTGATTTTTAGCTCGACCGACCGGAAAACAAGGGTGTGATGTGAGGGTGTGATCCTCAGAGATCATGTGACATCGCTGGCATGCTACTTGACTCATGACAAGTGCTGCTTGGTGACGATACGAGGGAGAGAGGGAGGGGAAACGTCAACTCCAAGCATGACATTCAATTCGAAATTTCAAAAAGATTGTTGACGTGATCTTGCTTGAATTTCTAGATATCTTCGAAAAAAAGTATCTATGGCGTAACAAAACTATTATGTGAATATAATGTAATGAAAAACCCCTCAACTACCATTTTATATCACAGAAACGAGCATATGTAAAATAAAAAGGCCGGACAGCAATATAAATTGACCTAGCGGTAACTGTAAATCATAAAATAAAATATGGTATGTGATGCAACGTACGGTACTGTCATGACTCCTGCTAGATTTAATGTGCAAACATTTCAAGTAGTCAGTTACAGAAGGCTTGTGATGTAAAGCTTGCGGAGTAAAGCTTGCGGAGTAATATTTAGTTACTATACTACTCCAGATCAGCTTGTAAAGCTAACACGTCGGTATATGCAGTAGTTAAACTATCAGAGATTCTGTGATAATGTTAGACTGATCTAGACAAATCCTTGTTTATCCCTTTAGTAACTCTCAGTGTCACTTAATCCATCGCCAAACTTGCTTTAGATCGGCCTGAGTTACTTATCAAAGTTATTTGTCACCGAAGTTATTCATCTCCAAAGTTATTTATCTCCAAAGTTATTTATCGCCAAAGTTGTTGGTATTTATAAGTGTCAAAGTATTGAAGGATATCAGTCGTTGCTTGTCAGCTATTTATCGCCAAAGTTATTCACCTCCAAAGTAACTGATATTTTATTACTATATAAGTCAAAGAATAAAGAATAATATAAGTATTTCAATGAGTCTATGTATCTAGACCACTAGTTCTATTTTGCTTTTATAATAAAAGCTTGCCGATAAGATTTTTGACTGTCAATAGAGTATAATTTTGGACCTATTAATTACAACGGTCTCCGACCCTTGCTATTACAAAGATGCGATTAAACGAGTGTCTTACAAAAATAACTATAAATAGGTTTTGTTAATTATGTTGTAATTATGTATGTAAATTGTTAGTTATGTTTTTTAAATATCACATATTGAAGCGCATTATAATTTGTATTTTTCATGTCACTTCAGTTGCGCTCACTTTATATGTTAACAAATTGACATACCTATTACTTATAATAAAAGAATTTCAGCTATTCTAAGGAATTCAAATGATATAAGAATAATAACAAATCATGTAGTTTAATTCCCCTACAATTACCAAACATATTTAGGGCTGTCAAGAGTCCCAGTGTTCTAATGGTTGTTGGGCTTCTTAATTTACTTACTTATGAGTTATGATGGAATAACTGTGTATGAAACCTTTTATCTATAATAATAATAAAGTTATGATCTTTTGGCAGAAAACTGGTCATTGCCGTTACCTTGGACGTGTCAAACATGTTTTAATTGATTGTTTTTTTCAGGATGATAAGAAAGAAAAGAAGAGCGGTAAATCCTCCCGTCAGGGAAGCTCGGAGAATTCCAACCAAGGCCGCCCTGCAAGAGAGCACTAATCTTAATTCTTATGACGCGTGAGAAAATGTGGAATAACACTTCAAGTGGCGTGAAGTCATACCATTCATTTTTAGACAGTTAGGAACTATTTTATAAAATTGAACAAATAATGCTATATTATTATGGTATGTCAAAATGGGCATTAAAATGTAGGGGGAAGGTTCTTGATTATTGGGTATAAAAAGTTGAAGCGATTTAAATCCAATCGATGCCACAATTATTCTTTAAGGGGACAATCTTGTATTATAATTGTCAAGTGACCCAATTATGCTAAGGATCAAGAAAAACCAAACACTAAATTTGAAGACTCAATACGATAGTAATGTGAACCACTGGACTAACCCTCAGTGAAATTAGCCACCCTGTTTTAGGGTTAAAGGAGACTGATCTTTTCTGGTCCTCTAAAACTCTTTCTGCCGTGATAAATTACCAACGACAAATCATTAATAATAATCAAGCTTAAGATCCGATAAAGAATAACACTCGTTCTATCTGTAATTACAAAAGGCCTAACTTGCAAGCACGTGTCCTGGAAATCAATTAACAATTAGTTTCGGCGATCAGATTTCTACAGAAGACATGTTATATCAGCTTAGCTCAATTATACCTTAATAACAATGCCCACGTACAAATTATAAATTTTAATAATCTGAAAGACCGATAAACTAACAACAAAATCCGGAGAATGAATGAATGACTTGCACAGCCCTACCCTGTTTTAAAATGGGTACATGATTTAACCACTATAGTTCCTGGCGACATATCTAATTTATTAATTTATAACTTATTGAACGATCGAGAACACAATGAATCTTTGCAAGGAATAATAACGTATATGTTTAACGGTAAGATAATATGTTAAGCACAATGCTTGACGAATGCTATTTTACTAAGATTTAAGTTAAATCCCATCCCCACTGATAGGCTTAAATACAGATAACAAATATTTCTGGCCCTGAACGCCGTACTGAGAACTTTCTCAGGAACACATAATTTTAAACCGTTATAACTTCGATTCTATGGAAAATGCGAGAAAAACTTCGGGAAGATTTTGATCGCGGAGGCTTCGTTCTTAAACTGTTTAATACCAGCTCAAGATCAAACTGTACTGGGAGGAGATATAACCATTAACCATGCAGAGAAAATAATCACAGATATAGTAAACTATGTAGGAGTATACGGTCTGTGATGGACGTAACGGTGTAGTGACCAAGCCCTACAAACTTGAAACAGTGCCCCCACCTCGGTAGGTTTTCCACCCAGACAATCTGCTAACATTACCCGCTTGATTTTGTGGATAACTTTCCGGGAAATTCTCAGATTATTCACAGATTATTCACATTCCGAATATAATCGGTGATATAAACTAAGTAAAAGCATACAGGATGCTATGGTCAGATAACCAAAACCATATAAGCGTGAAACTGTTCCGACTCCATACAGACAATTTGCTCTCATAATTCGTCAACTTGTAAACATTATTAGCCTAATTTTGTGGACGACATTCCGAAATATCCAGACTTGTTTATTAAAACCCTCGGCTTATTCTTTTAATTAACTGGAAGCCTGATGAGAGCCAATCTGCTGAAGACCAAGATTTCCTGTTGCCACAATAAAAATACCGATATCCTCATTAGGGTTGAGATCCTATGTTAAGCTTTTTTAAAGTGACTAGGAAGCTAGCTGCTACTCCTAAAAAACTGAGTTGGTGAAAGCTCAGATAGGCGTAGATTTTCCCGAAGCCAAACTTAAAATTCTTGCCTGGTCATGCAGAAAAATGTTTCCTTCTCCTTCGAGAAGGCGTGTCGTTACACAGATGTTTCTTGCATGTAAAAGACAGCCAGCTTTCTTTCCTTGGTATATAACTTTAATGTCGCCACAATTAGAAGCTACATTTTACCAGTATTATTATACACAACCGGCTATCTTTTAAAGGCTAAATGGAATCTCTTGTTAACGGTTTTATAGGAAACCAAATTAAAAGTGACAGCTCAAAGGGCAGTCTGACATATTTTTACTTTTAGTTTTGTCTAGATAATTTGAAAATTTTGTCTGTTTTACAAAAAATGCAGAAAAAAATTAGAAGCCATACTCTCCTAAATATGTTGTTTAATCCTGACAAGATAATTCATAATATACGGTCACCCTGGAGAGAAAAGGAGGGGGAGAGGGAGGAGTAAACCTCTGGGAGATTAGTAAACCTATGAGCAGTACTCAGTGTGGGACAGGGCAATTAGCCTGGTGACGTCACGTGAGTGTGTGACGCACATGAAGGTTAAAATGTCTGGCAGTTTCTGAAAAATAACTCCAAGAGAAAGATCTTGGAAAGATGCAAATTTTATGGGGGAAAAAAACAATTTATTAATCGATAGTATGGTGAGGTTTGGCAAGTTGTTAGTCCGGATTTTCCGGTTTACTAATGAGTTTCTGTGTGTAGTTGTGGCAGTGTGGTCTGGGCCCGCCGCGGCCCCGGGGTTTTGTACAGTCACTTTCTCTGTGGTTTTTTTATATTACGATTTTTTAGATCAACCAATAACATACAAATTTATCACAATGCTATAAAGATTCCCCTAAAAATATCCACAAATCAAGAAGTTCAACATAAGCAAAATGGTTCACATAAAAAGCCCAGTACTGTGTGCAGTGATTCAAAAACCATTTAAGGATCTCAAAATGGAAATGGTCTTTGGCATTGTTTAATAAAATTAATACATATTTAAATTAGACTAATGAACAACTTTCTGGATTCTGAGAAAAATGATCACTCCATGAATTCCTAAAAAAGCCATATGACCGGTTTAATAAGGTGTCCTACTGTTTTATTTAATTGGGTCTTTTCATTCTTCATATAATAATGTTTACACCGTGACCAAAATATACTATATGAATTAAATTGTCCCCTACGGTCGATTGGCTCTGCAGAAATTTCTTTGGTTTGGAATCCAAATTTATAGATTTAAATCTGTAGGGAACTTTTTCTACTCTCTGTACATTATTTTAGATTTGATTTTAATGTATTCGTTTAATATGAATATTAGAGTTATTAATTAGATTTGAGTATTGAGATTATAACACATATTTATCAGTAAAAGTTTTTCTAGATTGTGATGGACGTGGTGCAATGTGCGATTTAAAGATCCAGAAGATTTAGGATCTGAGTAGAATTTTCCTTTATCCTAATCTAATATTGCTTGAATTCAAGTTATGGCAAATATGTATTGGGTTATGAAATAAGACTTTTCACCATGTGTTGAACTTTATTATACTTTTTAAGAAACGAGGCATAAGGTAATACATAAAATTGTTTTGGGGTTACATTTCGAAGATTGTTTCAAAAATGTTCATGTTATAAATTTTGTACTTTAAATCTTAATACACTGCCTTTTAAAGACGTGTATGTGTAGAGATGTGTGTACTTTTTGTTTGCTTCTAAATCTAGATTTACAGTCACCTTTTCATACTTGAAGGAAAGTTTGTTATCTGAGAAAGTTATATCATCAAAGTATGGGCTCTGATGACGCATTTAAACGTCAAACGACATTTCAGCTCCCAAAATTTGATATCGATGAACCTAAATTTCACTGGATTTGATATGCTTGAAAATTTAATCTCAATCTTCAACTTAGTCAGATGTCTTCAGAACCTTTTCATGGACGTCACTTTGTTGATCACAAATTGAGGGAAATTCTAATAATAAATGAAACGGGCCCAAGTAGTTAACAGGGACGGGAAATAAAACCCCTGCCCGGATGGGATGTACCATAAACGAGTAATTTAGGTTACAAATTGCATCGATCCCCCTAATCTCGAAGATGACGTAGGTACCAATTTTAGAAACTTACGTGGAACATCGACCGGGCCTGCCAACTTAATTAACGATACGGTTCCGTATCCTGGATGTACGATTATACAATCGCACGTACTTGAACGTAAACTTTAAAAACTCTCGCACCATATTTTTTAACAGAACGATTATAATGATTATAATTAGGTCACCCTGAAGATAACGAGATTTTATCAATTTGTATCATAAATGCCGATTTTTCGTGGCTTAAATAATTTTATCTCTTTTCCATGAGAATATGTCCTCTCTGTTATTTTTGGGACTTAAATGTGTTCCAAACTACTATACTCTGTCTGTTATTTTTCTGACAGACTTAGTTTGATCGCTGAGATTCTTTAAGGGCTGACAAATTAAGAGCTTCTATTCCATAATAACGATCAGCGTGGCTCACTGAATTCCAAGTAAGAAATCTCAGAAATACATTTTGATGCAGACCGTTTTATATTCAAGTTTAAACCTAGATATACTATAGCTAAATATATAGGTAAATATTTAATATTATATATTATACATGTGTATCCAGTCCTCACCCTGGCTACATGATATGAAGGACTTGTTTTAATTCTGAATGAAAAGCTCAAACATATTATATAATGATACCAATAAGACGAATGAACCAATCTTTGCATTCTAAACTTAACTTTTGGTCACTACTGAAATCAAGGAAATGCAAATTTCCACAGCAATACCTAAAATCTAAAGTTAGATTGTATGATGCTTCCTCAATGATGGTCTGCAACAGTAATAATGAACAAGTGCGCTGCTCCCCTCGTTAGACTAGGATAACTAGACATTGACGTGCTATCCTCCTGATTCATTGGCTCATTGGTATGATCAGTGGTCAAGAACTGTACGTATATGACACTTAGATCTGGTACTCGTGACCGAACAAACTTTAAAGAACTATTCCAGATTCCTACAGAGTGCAGAGTTAATGAACTAAAATGTTGTATGAACCTCTCGGCCCGCATTTAAATATCCCTAGATTACTCAGACTAATAAGGTAAAAAGTAGATGATTGACAATGAAATCTCAGAGCAGTTTATCTAAACTGTTAATTTCCTACCTTGATTGCAGGAACTTTTAGGAAATAGCGATTCTTAAAAGTTTCTGAAATTGAGGATAAAATCAGATTAATTACTCAAGAATATTCTAGAAATGTTTTAATTTGAAGATTTGGCTATGATATTGCTATTGCAGTTTCAATTACTTAAATGGCTTATTATTTCTACAAGCGGGATTGCAGTTTTAATCGTTTTATGCTTCCTTCCACTTTCCAGGCTGAATCAGTTACTATACTACGGAAATGGTAAAGTTTCTGCAATTTTTGATCGGCCTAAATTATGGCCAGCAAGAGGTGTTACACAGTGAGACCCATATAAAGGGTGTAACACTGTGACACCCAGATAAAGGGTGTTACACTGTGGCACCCAGATTAAGGGTGTTACACTGTGACACCCAGATAAAGGGTGTTACACTGTGGCACCCAGATAAAGGGTGTTACACTGTGGCACCCAGATAAAGGGTGTTACACTGTGGCACCCAGATAAAGGGTGTTACACTGTGACACCCAGATAAAGGTTGTTAAAACCGTGCCACCCAGATAAAGGGTGTTACACTGTGCCACCCAGATAAAGGGTGTTACACTGTGGCACCCAGATAAAGGATGTTACACTGTGGCACCCAGATAAAGGGTGTTACACTGTGGCACCCAGATAAAGGGTGTTACACTGTGGTACCCAGATAAAGGGTGTTACACTGTGACACCCAGATAAAGGGTGTTACACTGTGGCACCCAGATAAAGGGTGTTACACTGTGACACCCAGATAAAGGGTGTTACACTGTGCCACCCAGATAAAGGGTGTTACACTGTGCCACCCAGATAAAGGGTGTTACACTGTGCCACCCAGCTCAGATAAAGGGTGTTACACTGTGGCACCCAGATAAAGGATGTTACACTGTGGCACCCAGATAAAGGGTGTTACACTGTGGCACCCAGATAAAGGGTGTTACACTGTGGTAGCCAGATAAAGGGTGTTACACTGTGGTACCCAGATAAAGGGCGTTACACTGTGGTACCCAGATAAAGGGCGTTACACTGTGGCACCCAGATAAAGGGTGTTACACTGTGGCACCCAGATAAAGGGTGTTACACTGTGGCACCCAGATAAAGGGCGTTACACTGTGGTACCCAGATAAAGGGCGTTACACTGTGGCACCCAGATAAAGGGTGTTACACTGTGGCACTCAGATAAAGGGTGTTACACTGTGACACCCAGATAAAGGGTGTTACACTGTGGTACCCAGATAAAGGGTGTTACACTGTGGCACCCAGATAAAGGGTGTTACACTGTGGCACCCAGATAAAGGGTGTTACACTGTGGCACCCAGATAAAGGGTGTTACACTGTAGCACTCAGATAAAGGGTGTTACACTGTGGCACCCAGATAAAGGGCGTGTTGATTATGATTTGGCGTTTAATAGTCATATTGGCGATGTTGCAGTACAAGATATCCGTATATTACTTGTTGTACTTGGAAATGACCCCGGAGTCCCTGGTGATTAGTCAAATTTCTGCCGAGTTTTTTACAGGGAACCATAGTGATAGGCACGCATTTGTGCGGTATCAACTTTAAATAGATTCGCTTCTTAGTTCTTCCGGCCTGGTGCGGCATCCCGCCTTATAGTTTTGAATCAATTAATAATAGCAGCGGTGACAAGAGTATGGGCCCTACGGTTAAAGATCTGTAATCAATTAATGGGATTGAAAACAGGAAATATCCATCTTTCCAATGCCCAAATTTGGCCTTTGGGTAGACCAAAACAACTGTCAGATTGATCTTGTTATGTCCTGATAAGTTTAGGTAAAAGACAACGGTCTGCGACTCTGCCAGGTCTTGTAAATGTAAAAGGAGCTGAGCACCAGTCACATACTTTTGCCTTTTTGGCACAGCTTCAAAACAATTCCAATACGAAAATGTGGCAGCTGTAAAGGAATCTATCACAGGGAATATAAATTCCACGTCCGAGAGCGTATACTTACAGAAAGAAGCCACTATCCAGATGATACTCCCTTTTACTCAGAGAATTTCACTTTTACTTGAAAATGTACAAGTACTTAAACATGTGTATGAGCACTCATCAGTTTTCATGATACATGGATTAAAATATGTTGCAAGCTCTCTGCATGTTAGTTGTAGGAAGCCTCCTGGAACCGGTTAACTGTTGAAAGTTGAAGAATGGAGATGGCTGAGAACAAAGATCGGATTTGCCATCACTTAGACACTCATTTTCACCGTTAAAGGAACAATGATTCAACTGAGGTTTATGATAATTCGGCCAGAAATTTCAATTTTATTTCAATTTCAACATTTTCAAAGAATTCAATCACTTTGTGATACTTATACTTATACTTTTTGTTTCGATATTTTCTGTAGAAATCTGGAATTAGATGGCTTTGACAAAATAAAACAAGTTACATTATTGATAAAGGAGTTACTCTAAAAATGAACGATGGAAATGGTATATATAATACACTCGACACTGCTAAAGAAAGCTTCGCTATATAGTATTAACTATAATAAACCAACTAGTTAATAGATCAATAAATCAATTAATTAACTAATTAATCAACAATAACTTCTCGCTAATCATACGCATAAGACACCTAGCTGAGGCGAAATAAAAAGTGGTAAAAACAAAAAGGCTCTTTTCTCTACGTACATACAAAACACATACAGTCTAGACTCTAGAACCCAGGCCCACAGATGTGCTGTGAAAAATCAATTAATTAATTAATTAATTGAGGAAACTTTACTGACATAATCCACCGGAAACACCAGATCCACATTGGAAACATGGTGTTTGTATTAAACTGATTGCGACCAGACTTCTTATCTAAAATATGATCGGAATCTGTCAGTTTTTATCAAGTTTCCTCTATTTTCACATCACATCTGATTTATTATTTCTAATACTAACTACTAAGGGGTGTAAGCTAATAAATACTAAATCCCACAACTTCATCCCGACCTCTGTTCAACATTTCAACTTGTGTGAAACTGTTGAGGTATTTCAACAGTTGTCACACAGCACTTCTAAAATCACCTGTTTTCTCGGCTAAATCACTGATCACAGGTTTGCCTTATCTGTCGACAGCATGAAAAATAACATGTCAACGTCTGGAAAATGTTGAAACCATTTCTCGGAACAGAGAGTCGGGGTAAAGTTGTGGCTTTATCAGCAGCTAAACTTTAGGATATTTCTACACTCAACTAAAACACACGACATACCGGTCTACTCTCTACTATTATATACCACATATCTCAGTACATATCTCCATAATAATATTACAATAATGACATAATTTCAGAAATATTAACAATCTATGAACAGATGAACATCGAGTGGGATTCGGAGCCAGATTCTAGCGTTTTCTTGGATAGAATTTAAAACTTTTGCAATGAGAGGGTCAGAAAGAAAACTGGCTTTCCATCTTGAATCTCGATGAACAACTTGTGATCCAATGAGAAATGAGATTAGGTGGATGGTGATATCT